TGTACCTATCAGTAAATACTTTAAATATAAATGGGTTAAATGCTCCAATAAAAATAACATAAAGTGGCTGAATGAGTAAGTAAACAGATCCATACATATGCTATTTACAAGAGACCTACGTCAGAACACAAGACACAAACAGACTGAAAGTAAAGGGACAGAAAGAGATATTTAATGCATATGGAAATGAAAATAAATCTGGGGTAGCAATACTTACAGTAACCAAAATAAACTTTAAAGTTATAAAAAGAGATAAGAAAGGCCATTATATAATGATGAAGGTACAATCCAATAAGATTGTAAATATTTACGTACCCAACATAGGAGCAGCTAAATATGTAGAGCAAACCTTGATAGACATAAAGAGACAAACTGACAGTAATACAATCACAGTAGGAGATTTTGATACCTCATTGACATCAAATGATGTATCTTCCAGAAAGAAAATAAAGAAACAATGGCCTTAAATGACATACTAGATCAGATGGATTTAAATGATATCTACAAGACATTTTACCCTAAAACACCAGAATATACATTCTTTTAAAGTACACAATGAACATTTTCATAGATAGACCACATGGTAGGACACAAAACAAGTTTCAATAAATTTAAGAAGACTGAAATCATATCAAACATCTACTCAGACCACAATAGTACAAAACTAGAAATCAAGGGTCTAGTCAAGAAACATGTATAAAAGGCCCATGGACATAGACAACAGGGTGGGGCCTGATTGGGGGGTGGGGGTTTAGATTAGGTTTAGGGGAGAGCAATGAGGAAAAAATTGGGACAACTCTAAAAGAACAATAAAAAGTAAAAAAAGATTTTATTATCTAAAAAGACAGAAGATAAAAAACATACAAACATATATAGGCTAAACAACATATTACTAAACAATGAATGGGTTAATAATGAGATCAGGAAAGAAATCAAAAGATAACTTGAGACAAAAATGAAAATACAACAATCCAAAAAGTTATAGGACCCAGCAAAATCAGTCCTAAGAAAAAAATTTGTATCAGTATAAGCCTACTTGAAGAAACAAGAAAAATTTCAAATAAATAATATTATTAAATATCTAAAATATTACTTATATCTAAAAGAACTAGGAAAAGAACAAGAAACAAAGCCCAAAATGAATAGAAGTCAGGAAATAACAAAGATCAGAATGAAAAGAAACAAAATAGAGTCTAAAAAACAATACAAAACTTTCATGAACCAAAAGCTGATCCTTTGAAAAGATAAACATGATTGATAAACCTATAATCAGACTCATCAAAAACAAAAAATGAGAAAGAGAAAGAGAGAGAGAACTCAAGTAAAATAAAAAATGAAAAAAGTAATAACTGACAGCACAGAAATACAAAGAATTATAACAAAATACAATGAACAATCATACGGCAACGAATTGGACAATCTGGATGAAATGGACAAATTCCTAGAAACATACAATCTTCCAAAACTGAATCAAGAAAAAACAAGAAATCTGAATAGACTGATTATAAGAAACAAAATCATAGCTGTAGCTGAAAAAGCTCCAAACAAAGAAAAGTTCTGGATCAGATGGCTTCACAGATGAATTTTACCAAACATTCAAAGAACTCACCTCTTTTTCTCAAACTATTCCAAAAATACAGGAGGAGGGAATATTTCCAAGATCATTTTACAAAACCAGCATTATCTTAATTCCAAAACCAGATATAGACACTATTAAGAAAGAAAATTATAGACCAATATCCCTGATGATCATAGATGCTAAAATCCTCAACAAAATATTGGCAAGCTGAATTCTGCAATGCATTAAAAAGATCAAAAACTATGATCCAGAAGATCATAAAGATTTATTCCTGGGATGCAAGGTTGGTACAATATCCATGAGTCACTTAATGTGTTACAACACTTACAAAATTAAAGGACAAAAATCATATGATTGTATCAATAGATGTAAAAAATCATTTGACAAAACCCAACACCTATTTATGATAAACACCATCAACAAAGTGGGAATAGCAGGAAAATACTTCAACATAATAAAAGCTATATGACAAACTCACAGATAACATTATACTAAATGGGGGAAAAACTGAGTGTTTCCATTAAAGCCATAAACTACACAAGATGTTCACTTTTGCAGAACTCTGGAAGTCCTGGCCACAGAAATCACACAAGAAGAAGAAATAAAAGGCATCCAAATTGGAAAGGAAGAGGCAAAATTGTCATTATTTGCAGATAACATGATACTGTATATAGAGAACTCTAAAGATTCCATCAAAAAACTAGAACTGATAAATGAATTAAGTAGTGCAGTAGGATAAAAAAATAAATATTCAAATATTAGTTGCATATTACACATCAATAATAAACTATCAGAAAAGGAAACTAAAAAAATTTCCATTTACAATTGCATCAAAAAATTAAAAAATACCTAAGAATAAATTTTAAAAAGAGGTAAAAGTCTTGTACTCAGAAAATTAGAGCATTTGAAGATTAAAATCAAAGAAGATACAAATAAATGGAAGCATATATCATGCCTTGCATAGAAAGAATTAATATCATTATAATGTATATACTACCTAAAGCAATCTTTATATTCAACACAAACTCTCAAAATACCAATGGTGTATATGACAAAACTAGAAAAAATAACCCAAAAATTTATGTGAAACCACAAAATACCTCAAATAGTTACAGCAAACTTGAGAAAGAAGAACAAAGTGGAAGTATCATGCTACCTGATACCAAACTATACTACAAGGCTAGTAATCAAACTGCATGATAATGGCATAAAAAGAGCCATATAGATCAATGCAATAGAATAGAAAGTCCTCGAATAAACCCACACATATACACTTAATTAACATATATTTCACAAAGAAAGCAAGAACATGCATGGGTAAAAACTGTCTATTTAATAAATGGTTTTGGGAAAACTGAACAGATACATGCAAAAAATATGAAACTAGACCATCTTCTTAAATCATATACGAGAGAAACCTCAAAATGAATTAAAGACTTAAATGTAAGACTCAAAACCATAAAACTCCTAGAAGAAAAACACAGACAGTAAAATCTGTGACATTTCCCTTAGCAATAGTTTTTCTGACACATCTGATCAGTCAAGGAAAACAAAAGAAAATGAAGCAAATGGAACTATATCAAACTAAAAGTTTTTGTCCAGCAAAGGAAACCGTCAACAGAATGAAAATAACAACCTACTGAATGAGAGAAAATATTTGCCCATGATACATCCAATAAGGGATTAATATTGAAAATTTATATTAACTCATAAAACTCAACACCAAAAAAAAACCAATCAATTAAATATTGAGCAGAGAATCTGAATAGACACTTCTCCCAAAAGGACATACATGTGGCCAATAGATATATGAAAAAATGCTTAACATCACTGCAAATAAAAATTACAGTGAAATATTTCCTCACACCTGTAAAAATGGCTTTCATTTTTTTTAACCTCACCCAAGGACATGCTTATTGATTTTAGAGATAGGGGAAGGGAGGGTAGATAGAGGGAGGAACTGACGTGAGAGAGAAACACCAATCAGCTGCCTCTCACATGTGCCTTGACCAGTGACCAAACTCAACCCAGACATGTGCCCTGACCAGAATTGAACCTGTGACCTTTCAGTTTATGGGACTACACTCCAACTCAGTCACACCAACCATGGCAGAATGGCTATCATTAATACAAGCGTTGGTGAGGATGTGGAAAAAAAGGAACCCTCATGTACTGTTGGTGCAAATGCAGATTGGTGCAGGCACTATGAAAAACAGTATGGTGGTTCTTCAAAAAATTAAAAATGGAAGTGCCTTATGACCCAGTTATTCTACTTCTGGGAATATATCCAAAGAAATCCAAAACACTAATTTGAAAGAAGATATGTACCCCCATGTTCATTGCAGTATTAGTTACCAAGCAAAAATATGGAAGCAATCCAAGTGCTCATCAACAGATAATTGGCTAAAGAAGTAGTGGTAAATATATACAATGGAATATTATTGGATCGTTAATAAAAGAATGAAATCTTACCATTTACCACAGCATGGTTGTACCTAAAGTGTATTAAGCTAAGTATAATAAGTTGGTCAGAAAAATACAAATATCATATTATTTCACTTATATATTAATCTAAAGAACAAAATAAATAAACAAACAAAACAGAAACAGACTCATGAGTACAGAAAACAAACTAGTGGTTTCCAGAGGGTATGTAGAGTAGAGGATTGGTTGAAAAAGGTAAAGGGATTAAGAAGTACAAATTGGTAGTTACAAAATAGTCACAGGGATGTGAATTACAGCATAGGGAATATAGTAAATAATAACTATGCATGGTGCCAGGTGGGTACTAGAAATATCAGCAGGAACACTTTTTAAATTATAAAATTGTCTAACCACTATGTAGTACACCTGAAACTAAAGAAAAAAAATTTATTAATGAAGATGGTCACCACACAGGATCTATATGCAAGTCCCATAATTTAGTATTTTATTTATATCAATAAGACCCAAATAACTTCAGAATAAACTGATTTATTTTCAGTAAAGTGGTGAGAGTTTAGGTTCCAGTGTGGGCAATGGACCCTAAGTCATGCAGTGGTTATTGAATACTCTACTTGTAAAGAACTATGCTTGATTTTCAGCTGGGTTGTTTGTTTTATAAAATAAATTATTTTGTTATTTTTAATAACAAAGATCTTTCCATGCCTCATCCAAAAACAAAATCTTCTTAACATATATTACTGTTAGTGATTATTTTGTCTTAATACATAACTGAAATGAGTATTTAAATGAATTTTTATATTTTATTATGAATAATTAATGTGTATAATTAACTATTACAAATTTAAAAATTAAAGTATCTCTTCTGTTAAATGAACTTATATTTGGAATTTTTACTATAAAAATGTCAACTTCAATTTCTTTGAATGCCTTTTTTTTCAAAACCTCAAATATTTTCATAAGCAGCTATTAGACATACATGCCATTCCACATTGTCATCTCTTTTTCCATGAGTCAGCAACTTGGTGAGTGGATTTCCAGTCAGGCCAGTGTCACTCTTGGGAGATGAATGTCCATGCTGCACCACAAGCACATTTCTTTGCACTGAAGGGTGGGATCGTTTAAGAGTCTGGTTCACAATCTGGTTGTCAAGGGTTATGAAGGGTTTTACTTGCTGTCTCTGGACTTTCTGTACCTGAGTCCTCCCAGGGTTTTCCAGGTATAGTGGGACCTAAAAATAGAAATTAAACAATTACAAAATGTAGTATCATCTGGTATTTCAAAATTCCATTTTCAAAAATTAAATTATGACAATCATATAACACCTAGATGCTCTCAAATTTATGGCCAAAAGTTTACTAAAGTATGTTAAATGCCAACCATGTTTTAAAAAATAATCTTCAAAATTACATGCAACTAAAACAAAGTTTGGAATAAATATATAAGTAGTGATACTTTTTTCAGGGTCTAAATAGGAAAGGCTAAAATAATACAAGGAAAACATAGCTGATTATTTATTATTAGCAATTTTTACATGTTTTTAGATTCCTTTATATTACAAATCTAAATCTAAATTTTCTATGAGGTATAATCACAACTATCTTTTAATTAAAAATTTAAAAATTACCCAGGAGGGAACAGAAACCAGAAGTGTGTGTGTGTGTGTGTGTGTGTGTGTGTGTGTGTGTGTAAAATCCAGTCATTGTTAATATAATGGGAATGGTTTGCACTACATTGGTGTAACCTGGAAGCCAAGAGAGTGGACTGGAATGTGCATACATGAACAATGATGACTTCACTGTACTGATCAGTAGGGGTTGTAGAACTGTTCAGTGAGCATGTATACTGTGTCGCCATTGCATTCAAAATGATTGAGTGAGTAGAGCAACGAATCTGAATCAAATTTTGTGTTAAGCTGTATTCCTCTGTGGAAACTATTCAAATGATTCAGAAGGTTGCAGCTATGGGCAACTGGTGACTGGCATCTTTGTCACAACACTGCGCCTGCTCATGCATCACAACTCATACAGAGTATTTTGGTACAACCTCAACTCACCCAGGTGACTCAGCCACCTACAGCTCAGATTTGGTACTCTGTGACTTCTGGCTTTTCCCAAAACTAAAATCACCTTTGAAAGCGGAGAGATTTCAGACCATTGATGAGATTCAGAGAAACATGATGGGACTGCTGATGGTAATTGGGAGAACTCTGTGAGGTCCCAAGGTGCCGTCTGTGAAAAGGACTGAGGCTTCACTGCGTTATGCACAATGTTTCTTGTATCTTGTATCTTCTTCAATAGATGTCTCTATTTTTCATAGTATATGGCTGGAGATTTTCTGAACAGAGCTTTTTACACACATACACACACACTAAATATTAAGAGTGATACTTTATGTTCCTTGACTTTCCCCTTCCCTTCCCTTTCCCTGCCCTCCCTTCTTCCCTCTTGTCTCTGTTGATTTCTTTTCCTTTCAGTGTTGCTGGTCATATTTTCCTTATGTCTTTGTATTGTTAGTTAGGTTCCGCTTATAGTTGAGATCATATGGTATTTGTCTTTCGCCCCCTGGCTTATTTCACTTAGCAAAGGGGAAGAACTGAGGGAGGGAATAAAGGAGGGGACAAGGGAAAGTGGTGAGGGGGAGGCAGAGACAAATGTATTTAAAATATAAATTAAAAAAAGAAATAAAAAACTTTAATAAATAAAAAAAGAGTGATACTTTATGGGTAGTGAAAATCTAGGTGATTATTTTCACTTTTCTGTATTTTCCAAGTTTCCATAACAAGCTTATTTTAATCTTTTAATAATCTTATTTTTAAACCCTTCCATATTCTTTTTAAATTTATTTTAAAATTTATTTTGTGTTGTATTTTTTAAAGTGCCATTTACCCCCCTTATACTATCATAGTTAATGATATACCATTATTTACATGAAGACGATTATAAGCATTTTCAAGCTTTCCCCTTAAAAGCCTCTGAAAGTATTATCATCTGCCAGTATCATTTGTATTAACTATGCTGTGATGTGGATACATTTTCCTCAAGTGGCCTATATATAAACCTATTTAATATTTTCCTCATATTTAACAATGGTAAAGATTGCTGTACAGTGCTTATTTTTACTTTAATTTCCATTACACAAGCTAATCCTTAAAGCCCTTAACATGCATTAGCCCAGATAAATGGCATTTAAAAAGTATTTTGCATTTAAATTAGCTGGTTTGGAGTATAATATTGTAGTAGTTACCTTAGTTTAATTCTGTTATGCTAACAATTTTAGCATTATTTTAATTTTACTAGCATAAAATAATTTTTCAGTCATATAAAAAAGATTGACTGGTAGTAAAGATTACACATATTACCAATTATAGTGTTATAAACTTTAAAGTTGTAAAATAACATTGCATTAAAATGCCATGAGTATTTTTAGGGTAGCTATTTCGATTATCCTAAATTTTAAATTAATTCTTCTTAATCTGAATACATTTAAAAATATACATTACAAATATCATTTTCATATTCACAAATCTGAACCTTTTATACAATATAAATGTACACTAAAATATATGCTAAGTGAAATAAGCCAGGGGGTGAAAGACAAATACCATATGATCTCACCTATAAGCAGAACCTAATCAACAATACAAAGATGCAAGAAAAATAAGACCAGCAACACTGAAAGGAAAATAAATCAACAGAGACAAGAGGGAAGGAGTGGGGGGCGGGGACAAGGAAGGGAAGGGGAAAGTCAAGGAACATATAGCAAGGACTCATGGACAAAACCAAAGGGGAAGAGCCGAGGGAGGGAGGGAGGGAGGGGGCAAGGGAAAGTGGTGGGAGGTTGGCAGAGACAAATGTATTTGAAAAAATAAATTAAAATAAAATTTTTAAAAAATAAATAAATAAATAAAATCTTTTAAAAAATAAAAAAATAAAATAAAATATATATCTATAAATGCAAATATCTCTTATAAGTATGTTGAATCAGAATTTAAACATTAGCTAACTCATTTTTCACTTTTCATCCACCAACTCTAAAAAACTTCATTGAAGTACTTGTATTTTGTGTTATATCAAGAATACAAGAGAAGTCAGATGTGATCTCAAAGCCTGAGAAATTTTCCATCTACCACAATATTAATATCAACTATAGCAAAAGCAACAATAATGATAAAAATATGCAACAGGTACCAGGCACTGTGCTGAGCAATTTATCCACATTACTCCATTTAATCCTTGTTACAACCTTAGGAGATTAGTATCACTAGTATCTCCATTGTAGCATATAGATGAAGCCACTGAGACTTAGAGGTTAAATGGCATGCCAGTTATCACTTCTCAAGTAAGGGATGGAGCCAGAACACAGAGCCTGCCTTCCTAAACATTATACATATTGGCTCAGTAATATATATAACAAATGAAAAATGTTACAAAAGCAATAGTTTAAAAAATAATTGGAAGATAAAATGTTTTTAAATCATCTCTTGGAAAGAGATGACCTGTTGCATAGGACACAAAAGGAAGGAAATCCAAATGCAAAAGATTAAAATGAGGACATCTGTGGTAGTGTCAACAATAAAAATAAAGTTAAAAGAAAAGAGAAGATAGTAGCAATGTAAGTGGAAGCCGAGCCCACTTGCTCATGCACCCAGTTGGGACACCTAGTTGATGTAAATAAATGGAAACATATACCATGTTCATGGATTAGAAGAATTAACATTATCAAAATGTCCATACTTCCCCAAAGGAATTTATAGATTTAATGCAATCCCTTTTAAAATGCCAATGACATATTTACAGATATAGAACAAACAGTTCAAAAATTTATATGTAACAACAGAAACAACCCCGAATAGTATCAGCAATTTTCAGAAAAGAAGAACAAACTAGGAGGGAACACAATACCTTATATCAAACTACATTACAAAGCCACTGTAAGCAAAAGAGTCTGGTACCGGCATAAGAACAGACACATAGATCAATGGAACAGAAGAAAGAGCCCAGAAATAATCCGTTGTCTCTATGGTCAATTAACATTGAACAGAGGGGACAGAGCATAAAATGGAGTAAAAATAGCCTCTTCAAAAAATGGTATTGGGAGAACTGGACAGCTACATGCAAAAAAAAATGAAACTCAACCACCAACTTACACCATACACAAAAATAAACTCAAGATGATAAAAGACTTAAATATAATTTGCAACACCATAAATGTCCTAAAGCAGAACATAGTTAGGAAACTCTCAGATATTCCATGCAGCAATATTGTCACCAATATGTCCCCCAGAACAAGAAACATAAAGAAAAGAATAAACAGATGGGACTTCATCAAAATAAAAAGCTTCTACACAGCTAAAGAAAACATTAGCAAAATGAAAAGGGAGCCAACTCTATGGGAAAATATATTTGCCAATGATACCTCAGATAAGTGTTCGATCTCCAAAATATATAAAGAGCTCACATGACTGCATACCAGGAAGACAAACAATCCAATTTAAAAAATGCCCTGGCCGGTGGGGCTCAGTGGATTGAGTACTAGCCTGCAAACAAGACAGGTTGCCAGTTCAATTCCCAGTCAGGCCACATGCCTCAGTTATGGGCCGGGTTCCCAGTGGGGGATGCACGAGAGGAAACCACACATTGATGCTTCTCTCCCTCTCTTTCTTCCTCCCTTCCCCTCTTTCTAAAAATAAAGAAATAAAATCTTTTTTTAAAAAATGGGCAAAGGATCTGAACACACACTTCTCCAAAGACAATATACAGAGGGCCCATAGACAAATGAAAAGATGCTCAGCATCACTAGTCATCAGAGAGATGCAAATTAAAACCACAAGGAGATACCACTTCACACCAGTCAGAAGGCCACCATAAACAAATTAACAAACACCAAGTGCTGGTGAGGGTGTGGAGAAAAGGGAATACTGTTGCACTGTTGGTGCGAATGCAGACTGGGGCAGCCACTGTGGAAAACAGTATGGAATTTTCTCAAAAAACTAAAAATGGTACTGTTTTGCGACCCAGCAATTCCACTGCTGGGATTATTCCCTAAGAATCCTGAAACACCAGTTCAAAAGTATCTATGCACCCCTTTGTTCATAGCATGTTGTTTGCAATAGCCAGGTGCTGGAAACAGTCTTAGTGCCCATCAGTAAATGAGTGGATCGAAAAACTGGTACATTTACACAATGCAATACTACACAGCAGAAAGGAAGAAGGAACTCCTGCCCTTTGA